AAGTGCGCACAAACCGTACCGGATCAATTGGCGTATTTAAGCGGGAGTCTACTGTAATAGAACTTTCGTAAAGCCTCGTAAATACCGATATTAGGGTACTTATGAGTATTCATAGTTTACTCTAAGTAGTGTTGTAAAATAATATACAATTGTATAAAATGTGTAAGTGTCACATTAAACCCTCAATCGCTATTCTAAGATCACCGAATCTGAGCTTTGAAGTTAGGAGGAGCAGCTTTTGGACAAATGCGGTGGATGGGTGAGAGGCTCGGAGTGTCGCGTACGACTTTCAAGTACAAGGGCCTCTGCATTATAGCAGAACAAGCAGATATGTATTTATCTGGCCTAAACAAATTTAATCAAAGGAGTAGGGTTCCAGGACGACATGTGCTTAAACTCAAAAAATGTATTGTGCCGAATATAAAAAATTTCGTCGAAAATTGTGAGCAAACATTTCATTCCTGGCCAAATAGACAATGAGAAGAAGTCACAAAAGTGCGTCAAACTATTTTATTTCTTGCGAAAAGATAAGTCGTATCTCTTCTAAGCTTTTTGTCCCACGCTCCAAAAACACTCTGACTGCCGCGTGAAGGTTCAGTCCATAAAAAAGATTTCCAAGGGCATGTTTATACCACCGTGTCATAGTATCATTAGAAGCAAAAATAAAGGCTACTTTTTGGTACTATTTAGTTTTATGACCACAACTTAAGCCTATTAGAACAAACCGCCGTCGTAGCTAGTGTCATGTGAAAGCGCCTATGCTTTCATATGTTCATGAACTTCATTTATGCGATGCAGCCGTTTCTTTCAGACTCTCTGTGAGGGTTGGGCTATCAAAATTTTCATGGCAAATTATATTAAAAATGTCGCTACAGTATTATATAAAAATTAACAATGGTAGAATTACAGTAATCGAGACCATCAATTTGGTGTAAATTAAGTGATAATTATTACCTTTCAAATAATTTAGCTCGTTATGTAGGAAGGAGGAAGGGTCCTAGTCTCCCTTTCAAACTCTATCGCACTGCTGTATGAAGTACAGCAGTGCGATAGAGTTTGTTCGTCGTCTGGCCTAATAACTCAGCAATTCTTTAGTGCATTTAACCACATGGTCGCATCAGCGTCATGATCGGCGTACACAAAGAGCTCCTTGCGATTCTCCAATCGAATGCATAAACCATGGGAATGACCATTCCATCGCACTGCTGTTATAACTTGCAGCGGCTTGTCAGCTTCCATTGGTTCTGAATTCCGTAATGTGCGATTTCGTCGTATTGTGAGCTGTCCATTTGTGAGCTTCATAAAACGCTTTTTCCAGGTTGAAAAGAGTCCTGTGCGCATATAGAGATAGCCCTGCATATCACTGCTCGGCGCATCATCGTCATCTTCGCTGCTTAGTACACTTAACGCCGTGTCCATCTTTGGTGAGCCGCCATCCGTACTTTGTGTTAAAAGTTCGCTGACCATAGTCCCACGAATCGTTTCCGCCATGCCACGCATTAATGGCGCTTCTTCGAGCACCTTGAGCCACTGCTCGCGTGAAGCTTGATCGCCTGCTTGAGCGTAGAGCACACGTCCACTAGAGCTAGTAATCTTGAGACCAAATGTCGTCATGTCTGAAAATTCGGCCTTGGCGACGCGTAGACCGCCTCTAATTGGCAAATCAAGGCACTGAGTGCCCCCACCTAGCACGTCTGAGGCGATAACACAACACTGTTTGTAGTATGTGAGTGCAACGCCATTTAGTAGAAAAAATCGCTTTTTCCATGTCTTAAACGAATGTCCACGCTTCCAAAGCCATCCGTAGAATACAGAGCCTTTGAGGTCTTGCGTAGGAATGTTCATTAAAGTGAGGCGGTCCGTTAACGAGAGAGAGGCTCTAGACGTCGTCATAGACGATGTGGACGACTGTGTCTGTGATAGCGGAGAATGTGCGAGCTTGCGCTTATTTCCCCCATACATACTAATTCGATGATGGTTATGCCGCATGCTTGGGTGATCGTATGGTGTCACAGGTGAAACGTTGTCACCCAGGATGGGGAACTCGGAAGTGTTGATGTCAACGAATGTGTCTTTAACGACACTACTCTCATTCCGGTCCATCATACGATGCGATAGGCGTAACGGAGCTGAAGAGGATCTGCAGCTTGGTACCGGTACGTCCAGCAAGATTGTGAATGTATTCGATCGAACTTTGGTGATGAGGGGAAAAAGTAGACTGGTCTGAACTCAACCACGATTCAAGCAGCTGTTTCGCGTAAATGGAGCAAGCAGGTTGTGACTCGATCGAGTACTTTTCGAAGAAAATCTCTTTATATCTAGTTATTCTACTAGATGAGGCAGTCTTGATATTACAACGATCTTACACTTTTGATATGTCCATTTGATTAACTTAAGCAAGCATCTTAACAAGATTAATGATAAAGATGAGCGCACTCCCACAGTCTGTACAAATTAGCGCTTGAAGTAATCGTACATTTGTCAAAGCGAGCACAACTCGTTCGACGCACGTTACATCGCGGTTTTAATCGTGGAGACACACTAGCAACGAACTGACGTAGTTAGCAGAAACTGCAAAAAACGACATATCTAGTACAACGGAATAGGCTCACGGTTTCGATTTCGAAAAAATTTATCTTTTCGCTAATGGTATGGAGTAATGTTTTTATCGGAATGTAAATCGCGCGCTGCAATCACGATGCTATGCCAACGTGCCTCACAGAAAAATGGCACGCGGTCTTACGTAACTCGCATCCACTGGGTCACAGGATGGTACACATAGCAACATTGAATCTTGAATTCGGGAGTTTAATGGAGAAAGTGATCATTCGCGATGGATTTTTTTCCACGTTTCGTCGCTTAAAACTTCTAGCGAGATGAGCCACCTGTCAAATAACATCAATCTTCTGCGACTCGTCAACATGTAGCAGCTACATGTAATACACATGTCTCGTGGTCGTAATCCAATGGATACGTGAACATAGCTCAACTTTTTCGAATACTCAACTAACTGGCTCTGACTTCTCGAAGCTTTTTCTCTAAGATTATATAGTAACATATCAAAGTAAAATTTATATATGCAGTGCCTTGGTAAGCATATAGAGAAGCACATTAGACATTTATAAGCATCGTTTTTTAAATTTCGAAGTACTTGAGTCTGATTGAATGTCATCACTAATGGCGCTATAAACCATATGATTTTGAACTGTATAAGCTTAATCCGGAAGAGAGCCATTACGGGGAGAGGAGTACAACATTGGTGACGACATAGCTAACGACTCTTGTAGAATAATCAGTACAGGAATAGCCATGCGATTCTGAAAAAAATAGAATTTTACATGTTCTGAGCTGAGAATATTTTTTTTGAAAAAACTGATTATTCAGCTTGTAGATAATTTTTTCATGAAACGCAAATTATTGTGAGGTACTAGTGATATATTACTGCCATATGTTAAAGATATGATGATGTGACACATACAAAAGTCTTGAAGTCGCCTGTTTTTATAGCTTTGCTGGAAAAATTGCTGTTTTTTATGTACAGTACATGGACGGACGCCTTTGTTACACAAACAGATCATTAAATGAACGTATTGACCATAAGGAACGATGTAATGTTTGTGCCTTACTTCAACCACATTCTTTATATAAACGAGTCCATAAAACGAAGTTAGCGACAGAAGTATTAGCTGTGTCTCTCCTTATTCGATACTTTCTCACTTCGGACAGAGAATACCTCACAAAAATTTAGGCTTATTTGTTGTGTACATTTCATCAAAATTGACTGTTTCGACACTTGTACAGTCAAGATTGCCGAACGAATTAATGAGTTATTTCTGAAATTATGCTCTAACAAGACTTGACGAGCTAAAACGGACATTTTTCACTAGATATGGAGTGGCCTAGTGTCCTATTACTGTCTTCGACAGCAGTCTCAGTGTACATACCGTATCAATTAGTATGTACACATACTCGGATCTGTACAGCGCTAAAGATCCTGATACCAAGGTCCCATTGTGATGTACAAGGCACCTGAAAATTCAAATAGCCTCATGAAAAACGTTTACTAGGGTTTAAATCTTAGGGTTAGTAACACGTAAATGATGGTATAACTTTTACTTGATTCGTATTCAAAAAAATACACTCTATAGAACGGGGTTGTCGTGTACCTTGCACTGAGAAAGCTTTGACGCAGAGACTTTGCGGAAAGAATGCACAAAGGTCGGATTTGTACGCTTTGACCAAGAATGGAACTAAGATCCTTTAGAGTGATTTTTGACCGAAGTTGCTCTGCTATTTTAAGAGAGACATATACTGATGAGTCATTCAGTCAAATCAATATTAAGTTAAACTACCTGGAAAAATTGCTTGGAGCAAGCCACGTCGCACGGACGTCTGCAGCATGGAGTTGCTCTGTCTTCATTATTACCAAATCCTTGGACAACTCGGAAAGTTTTGGGCCATCACACAGACGTATAGGGCATACTTTGTACATTGTAATAAAGTGTATGATGTAGATTTGCACAGAAGTGTAATGCGCACGTACAAAGTAGGATTGTACCTACTCCGTTACACCAATATTGACAATACTGGGGCACGCTTTTATGAGTCATATGAGACGAAACGCTCAACAAGAACCCACTGGGCTTGGAATTTCACTTGACTCCTTGCACCCTATGGCACTGATCCTCAGCGCATACTTCACACCAAAAGTCAGCGCAAACATCTGGAAAAAAAAATGAGTTCTTTGCAGCTGCCTTCTAATAAGATCGATTGTAGCAGCCCTCGAGTCCTGACCTGACACCTTCACTCTCAACGAGATGCATACCGCAGGGCCGCGCACTGAAAAGAAGCGTCTTTTACTTCATTTCTTTTCTTTATGAGTTCTGCATAATCCATGCTAATTCCCTTCGGCAGAAAGTGGTGTGGTACTCAGCCGCAGAAACCATGAAGACAGCCAGATCGGCACCTATTCCTGGCTTAGAGACTCCAGCTTGCCCGTCAGCAAGCTTGCAACGATTATTGCAGTTTAAATCACATCGCGAGTATGAATTGAATCCATCAAATTCCCCCCACACCGGAGTAGGGCTCTTAAACGCCAATGCGTCCCAGTCTTCTGCACATACAGAGTGCAAAAGAGCCGCTCACAAGCCGCGTTGTGAGCTGACCCCCAGATCACCATTGCTTGGAGTATCACGCTTGCTCTTGAAGTAACAGTTGTCAGATTAGTCCGTATCCACTATGGGGACCGTACATCGGTGGCGAACGCGACGAAAAGTGTCAAACTCACTCGCTTATCGGGTAGGAATACATGAAGCCTAATCGTTCATCACCATTACAAGCCAAGTTAAGTGAAGCAAAATCCCTACTTGATCGGGATAAAATGCTTGATTTTGCGAAGTAAACCATGTGACGTGGGCATCGAGGTAGAAATTCATTGTTGAAACTATTCCTGCTCATCTCCATGCGACGATTGTTACAGCTACTGAAACTAATCTCTACGCAATACATGACGATTGAGACCGAGGGTGTGCCAGGACATAAACTTTGACGACGCCTGGGCAATCTTGCCGAAACGTGATCTCAAATTACCACATATTTTAAGACTAAGGGTAAGTGACGCTTCACTCTCGCCGACCCACTTACCGTTCCATAAGGTACCGGACCAACCCCTGCTCATCGAGCAGGGCTGGTGGAGGACAATTTTTCGTGACTGGTCTTGTGACCTCCTTTAGTTTTGGCGATACATCAAATCTCTCCGTGAGTCTCGGCGTGCGGTCTATTCCTAGGAAGTTAGTATTCATTATATGTGCTCGTCAAGCTTATCCATATTACTGAATGGCTTGATGTACCCCTAACGGTTTAAGACCGTATCTCTGTCCTATAGCAGAGGATATGCATTTTACTGGGATAGTGGAGACGCTGATCCATTGCCAACAGAGCTATTTACATTTAAGTAGCTTTCAATAACAGAATTGCAATATGGCATCGGCAAGCCGCGTAGAAAACAGGTTATGTCTGCATTCTGTTCGGGAGAATTAAATCCAATTCTTCTTTTCCTACCACCGTGAACGGCCCGATATAACGTGGACGCAGCTCAGTCCTGCCAACTTTGCCTTATGTGTGCGTGTGTGTTGCTAGCCAAACCAGCGGTGACAATGAAATTAAGCTGATGATGCACGCATTGCGTTGATCACCAAATATTAGGGTAATAGGAGTAATTCGTACCAGCAACACGGTCTTTCTGCGTACCTCAAAGGATACACTCAAAATCGCGGTCTAAAAATTTCACCAAAGTATCTGTTTACGAATAACCAGTGGTGACGTGCCCAATCTGGTTTTAGTAGCTTTATAAATCTTGCCAAAGCTTCGTTGTGATAGCAAGGGCTCGATCGGGCACAACAGATATCAGCAAGCCATGTTCGTGAATAATCTTCATTCAGGAAAAGCCTGTCTATATTATCAACTACTTGTACTGGTGTTACTAACAGTAGCACGGAAACATTTTTTACGGCCCACAGAAATCACAGCATCTGTATTTGAAGCTGAGGCTTTTTCAAATACAAGAAATGAGCTCCAGTCCGATAGAATGCATACAGATTACCTGAACTGGCAGACTGACCAAAGGCACACAGGCATGTGACGAGGATTAAACCTGTTAATACGTTTTACACATCCACACATATGCGCTTATCTAATTATAGGTGCTGGGCCACTAGCACATTATGCTCATCAAGTCACGTGACCTCTCTTCCGAGGTGGCCAATTTCATGTGCCTAGAACAGTTCTCAGTACTTGCACTCCAAATCGTGAACTATATCATAGGGTGAGTCATTGGTGAATAAAACAATCATTGAGACATTGTAAAAAGGCGCAAACGTACAATTGATCAATAAAATGCTATCCAAACCTCCTCGCTTACAAACCTTCCAACAGTGCAACAAATGCCGTACGTTGTGTGTGTCATCTCATCAATACTCGATATCGCCATCAAGATATGCGACATTCTATAGTAGGGCTAACGCGAAAGTGCATCTACCACTACATCGAGCCGATCCGGCTTGATCTTATCTCGAGCTACGTGTTCGATAAACAATATTACTTTGCCATCATCTGCTCGATATATCACTGCGCGCATGGACGCATGATCTATATTAATCAAGAACGGCGTATAGTCAATTAAGGCAAGAGCATGTCTAATAGCGATTGGCTCTTTGTAAAAAACGGGCAGTTTCCTCGGCCATTTTGGGCTAGTGATTGTTGAAATGGCGCCGCGTAATGAGATCTGGCCGAGCCTAGGACTCATTGATTGATGACGTGAAGGTGATCAATGGTCTGGAGGGCGCATGGGGCACGCGCATAAGCTTGGCGAAGATAGGAAGCTGACTCGACGGGATCGGCGATTCACGTATGGCAAGATCTGATTGGGAGATAATGGAGTGAGTGCTGGATGTGATTAAGTCTCATCCGAAACTTCCCCCGCGACCATTCATCTTGTCGGGGCGTCGCAGGAAGAAGCTCGAGGGCGGCTGCTGCAGAGGCACAGGGAACAAGAAGGGCGCACAGGAAGGTAGCTATGGACATGTAGGAAGGGTAGATTGTGTAGCTGCTAACTAATTCACTTTGGCATTTTCCTTCCACTATTCAACAGATTAACAGCCGCACAAGTTTCTCAAGCTCAAGACGCCGCCTCGATGTCAACGAAGAAGGCCGAAGTTCTTCTGGGAAGCGACAACTACTTTCACTGGGAGTTCGCCATGCGCATGAAGCTGGCGAGGAAGGGACTGTTGGCTCATGTGCAGACGGTGAAGCCGGAAGCAGAGATGACAGAGGCGTGGCTGCTGAACGACATGAAGGCGCTTGGTTTAATCGCCCAGTGCGTGTTGTTGGAGCACCAGACGAAGATTCGCTCGCCAGACGAAGATTCGCTCGGTGACCTCGGCGACCTCGGCGATTCAAGCATGGGGAACTCCGCGGGAGCTCTACAACCGGACCACGATGCACAACCGTGTGATGATGCCTCACCGACTCCATGAGTTCAAGATGGAGGAAGGGGCGACGATGGCGAAGCACCTCGACGAATTCGACGAGCTCATCGTGGGTCTCCAATCGCACGGCAAACCACTGGACGATGCCCGTCAGTTGGTTATATTGCTGCGCAGCCTGCGCAGCAAGTTCGAGTTGATCTTGTCGATCATCGAGAAAAATAAGGACATCACTCTGCTCGAGGTGAAGAAGAAGTTGCACAAGGAGTACGAGCGACTGGAAAAGAAAGAAAACGTCGGAGCGCGCGTTGAAGGTCACTTCGGATTGTGGCAGGGGCAAGAACGGCAAGTTTGTCAAACGCGGCAGGAACAATGATCACAAGGGTAACGTCCGAACAAGGTCGACAGAAGTGACGATGGTGCAGTATTCGCGGTCAGCGAATTAAGCCCAGTGAATGAGTCAGAAGACTCAGTGATCAACAGTGCCATGGCTGATAATGCACTCGCTGTTGGCAAGGATCGATCGCCGAGCTAGATGATCGACAGTGGTGCGACGTCACACATGACGCCGTACCGGGACGACCTATTTGAGTACGAGGTCGTGAGTACGAACAACGAGGTGACCATTGCTGATGGTAAGAAGCTGCGCGTGGCGGGAACCGGGTCGGTGCGCTTGAAGGGCATCGACGGCAAGCACATTCGGATAATAGGGGTACTCCACATTTCTGGCCTCGACCGCCGACTGCTGTCGGTGGGGAAGTTGGCAGGACGCGGGTCGAGCGTCGAGTTCCAACGGGATTCGTGTGATATCTGGGGCAAGTCGAGTGCGATTGCCGCAAGGCCTACGTGTTGGACTGTCAGCAAGAAATAGCGCGATTCGTCCAGTACAAGGGCTCAGTGAATCAATGGGAGCTGTGGCATGCTCGCATGGGGCATCCCAATGAGAACGCGTATGCGATGACGCACCGCGCAACGACTGGGATGCCAGTTGTCAAGCAAGAGGTCAAGACTTTATGCGATGGCTGCATGAAGAAAAAGCTAACGGTGGCACATTTTCCGTCAAGATCGCTGACCAAGTCATCACGTGTACTGGAGCTAGTACAGACGGACGCGATGGGACCCATGAAGACGAAGTCGAAGGGTGGAGCAAAGTACGTGCTCACCTTCGTGGACGACCACTCGAGGGTTGTGGTCGAGTACTTCCTCAAGAAGAAGAGTGG